AGATGGGTCCCTAAATTATTTATGAGGACATAATTCAAATGTCCCTTACTATTAAAAATTTTCATTTCTATATTAAGAAATAAAAAAAAACTACCTACAAAGGTTCTTTATAGTTTTAAGTATCTATACAAATCATTTTTGAAATTATGTCCCTATTGAAGTAAAGAGCTAGGAATTATGTCCTCTAGGGGACGTGGACGTAAAGGGACGTAAAATTTATATGCTAAATACTTTAGGGACCCATCTTTAATCACCAGATCCTATATCATCTGCGAAAGTTCATCCATAATCAAAACATTTGGCCAAACTTACGACACTTTTGAACTGCAAATAATCAACTCTTCCAACAAATTCTTAAAAGGGCTTCACAATAACACTTATAGTGATCTCATTACATTCAAAATCAAATTGCTTTCAGGTACACTTCCAACATGTGAATTTCTTCACCAGTTATATTCTGATTTCTATAAGGACCCATATTGTCCAAGATGCAGTCTCCAGACTGAGAATATCTTTCATATCTTTAGCTATACTCTAGCAAAAAAAGAAGTCAAACAAATAATAGACTCTATTAATCTTATTCTTCATTTAGACAGTAGTAACAATCCAGTATCGAATGCATGCCAGGTAGTAGGGCTTGCATGTGTAATTACAACAGGCATTTTCTCTACATCTGATATACACAAGTGGATCTGAGCATCTATTGAAGCTCTTACATCTTCCTACAGTCACATTTGGAAGCCCTGATGTAGTATAGCGAATACCGCACCCAATACTGGTATCAAATGGGACAAAAATCTCAAAAAAAAAAAAGCAATAATAATAGTAACATCAACAATAACAATAATATAAATGCCAATTCTGCCAATACTCCTTTCAACAATACTACCAATAATAGTTCATCCTCTAGCGACAATACTTCAATCTCAGCTTCTGACAATATTATAATCGATATCCCAACTCTCATTGTGGAAACATTCATCCAAAGCAAACTCAATTATCCAAAATATATATATAATTTTATTTCTAATTACCATAATATTATTTCACAAAATTCTGAGTAGGTATCCATAGCTGCTTGATATCGCTTATTTAATACACTAGTTTAAAATGTCTTTTCTAGTAGAAGTTAAGTGATTACTGTAGACAAGTTAGCATTTAATTCACTGCAAGTTGTACGTGAGAGATATTGTTTCTTTCTATAATGTATACCTTGTTATATATAAATAAATAAAGAAATAGTATTTATCTACTTAAAAAAAAAAATAAAATAAAAATAAAAAGTATTTAAACAAGCAAAAAAAACTTCAACAAAAAATCCTATAGAGAATAGCTTTCATTATCTTTGCAGTCTTCTTAATCTTTGCAATCTTTACAACCTTTGCAATCTTTGCAACCTTTACAATTACAACAACCTTTATAATCACAACAACCTTTGTAATCACAGCAATCTTTGTGATTACAGCAACCTTCGCAACATAGCAACCTTTATAATCATGGCAATCTTTGCAATTATAGCAATTTTTGCATTTATAACAATCTTCAGAGTTTTTTTAGGTTTTGTTAGATTTTAGAAAATAAGATCTCATTCAATATTACCTGGTATAGAATCTCCATTAACCTCTATTTTGACATGGCAATTGATCAAAAAAAAATTATCTGTCCAGTTCCCATTAACATGAGAAGCTGATATAATGACCAAAAAGATACAAAATTAAATTAATACCAAATTATTAAATAAATCTTACTTTTACTAATCAACTGATTTATTTAGAGAATTAAATTAAAAATTTGCAAACAGAAGTTGAAGAGCTAAAAAAAACAAATGCCAAATTAGAAAACAAGGTCAATACTTTAGAAGATTCAATAAAATCTTTAGAATATATAAATGAAGAGTTTGCTGCCCAAGAGAAAAAATTTAGGAAAAAATAGAATATTTAAAAAATCGGCTCTCAAATTAGGATTTGATTGTTTGATATCTCTGAGATCTGGATTATCTATGAAATCCATATCATCTGAAATATCTGCAATATCAATAGAAGTCTCAAGTATCAAAGATTTTGAAAATAAAGATACTAAAGATTTTGAAAATACTAATATTGAAGATTATGAAAATGCTGAAGATTATAAAAGTATTGAATATTAGTTAAATCTATAAGAACAAAGGTTTCAATCAGTTAGAGACACAAAGAATAAAGGCAAAGCAGTTTATAAGTCAGATCCAAGAAAAACAAAAGAAGAAATGAAAATCCTTATAAAGACGTTCCTGAACATTATAAATTAAAAGTGGACAAAGTTTTTTTGAGTTCTAAAAATAAAAAAATATTAGCTAGACTAATATCTGAATTATTGAAATTAATGACTTCAAACTTTAACCCCTCATGAAAACAACTATATAATTGATTGGATGCCTTATATTGTCATTAAAGAGGAAGGTACCTAAAATAAAAATCAGGAAAATTAGAGGCAGATGATAGGTGTTTGCATGTGAACAGTCAGTTAAATGAGATAAGAACATTAAGCTTATATACAATATATATATATTATTTTACATACAGTATATTAATTTTTAATGAATAATAAAAAAAAAGGACTAAAGAATTAAAAGTGTACAATTATTAATTGATAAAAAGTTTAAAGAAATTGCAAAATATTGAGATGAATTGCTTAATGTCCTTAAAAAAATGAAGGTCTATTCACCTAAAGAAAGTAAAACTGATTCAAAAGCAATAAAAGAAAAGAAGTTATATATGATTATAGTTAGTGTTTTCATAAGGTATTTAAATATTGTGAGGGATCTCTCAAGTCTTTTCTAATACTTAGTTCTTTAAGACTGAGGCGTAATAATTTGGTCCAAGTATCCTTTTTCTTTCTACAAAATAAACTTTAATTCCATTTATTAGCATGTATATTCGTCTACTCAAACTATACCAAAGTTCCTGTTATAGCAATGAATATTTATAATATTAACTACTTAAAACTCTTTCAAATTTCTTTATGGTTGCAGTTTCATCTTCAAATGTCAAACATTTGTATAATAGTTGTTTTAAACAAATAGTTGTTAAGCAGTTTGTTAATTTTATTTAGACTTTTTCTTTTACTTATATATATGCTAGTCTTAAAAAATTATATCAAATATATCAACTATTTAAACTATCACTACTATATCTAATTTCTTAACTATCTTAACTATCTAAAATAAAACGATGAAATCAAAGAAAAGAAATAAACTACAGATATCTCATTTCTCTCAGATTTGTCATTTTTGGGATTGTCATTGCATATACTTATGTGACCATACAATTTTTCTTTCACAATATCATTAAGTCAAATATTTGTTTGTCGAATATTTATATACTGTGAGAGGGGAAGAAAATGGAGGGTAACGCGGTTTTGGTCACGTGACCGACGATCAACCCAGTATCGCATCGAAGAAGTAGAGAGTGAAACAGACAGAAACATACGAGTAATAATGATGTAATTAGTGTCATATTATGTAATTAGCGAGAGAAAATATGAGAATTTCTTACCTTTTCTTAATCTTTCTAAAAGTTTCGAAACCTTTCTTGAGAAAAATATATAAATTAGCTGACAAAAAGTAATCATGGAAGAGAGTGAGAGGATACAATTTAATAAAGAAAATACTTACCTTGGCCAAATCTAACGCCTCATCAAAACCCTATCTTTAAAAGAAATTTAACACTATCGTTGCACGAACTTTATCACTCATTAGCGACTGACTCGCCGTAACCATCCCCACAATATGCATGCATATATATTCCCAAAAATGTCAAAGCAGCAAGGAATGCCTAACGCTCTGACAAGCCCTCCCCACAATAATCAACATCATGACTGATGAGAGATATACCGCCCTGACGATTGGAAATTCCAGGACAAGACCGCGAAGAAAGCACCGACACGGAAAGAAAAAAAAAGAAAAAAAACAAGAATGGTTAGAAAAAGAAGCAACCATACATCACAGATGAAACACAATGAAAAGCTTATCCCACCTTCTGAAGATGACAGCCCCAAAGATCAAATGCTGGGATGCTGTCATAATTGTGATCACGATTGACGATAATGATACTATTATCACCATAAGGAAGACAACGATGACGATTATAAACACTACCACTATCATCACGGAGATGATAGAGACAAAGTTTTTTATGCAAGATCCTCTGGTAAACATCCGAGCCATATTCTAAGATGGAAGACATAAACGATATTCGCAGCATTCAGGATTTGGCCTATTATCTACAATCTGACAACTATACTCCAGAACAAATGCAATATTTAATGGATTTAGCTCAAGAGATTATTGAACTATTTGCCCAGAGGCATTCAAGAAGATAGAGATCAATGAAATCATCGTCTTGATGCCCAACTCTCTTCTAATTAACGGATAGATGCCATGGTACGAGTAGGCGTTAAAGGTATCAGTCATGAGGATCTATATATGCCATTATATCAACAGCTTAAAGAGTTACGAGAATTCGTGAGGAAACTTTGCCGAAATGCTGTCATAATCGTGATCACAATCTGATCATGATCGTGATCGCATGCCTTCCACCTCCCCAAAGAATAACAATTCGAAACCTTGTAAACTAGATTGTCAGAATTACAAAAAATCACGATATAACAGTAAACAACCTTAATGATATGAAGAGTAGATATCAAAAATGTCTGTCAAAAATTAACAAGCTTTATCTTATACTTGCTGAATCCCAAAGTGAGGAACTCAAGAATTACACCCCTTCAACGCCAATGACACCGATATCGCCCACTAGTTCAATCAACCGAATGTCCTTTTCACAAACCTTCATTTTATAGCAAATTAAAATAAGGAATTTCTGGGCAAAGCAAATGATGCATCAAGATCAATGAATTTTGGACTTTCGCCATATATCACCGCGATCATAGAAGCTCCCTGGAATTCCATAAATCACGTGACTTATAGTGTGAAGCTGGAGAAATGATGACCAAGACGGAAAATACGGTTACCATCAGCATGAAGATGACAATAACGATGACTACCTAGCTGGTGTGAGGGTCTTTCAAAGTCCTCTCTATTATTTAGGTTTTTAAGGCTGAGGCGTAATAATTTGGTCCGAGTATCCTG